TTTTGCATTTTTTTGATTTTTTTAATGCGTTTAGAATTTTCAGGATTTCTGGATTTTCTGCTTTTTCGGATTTTTTTGGAGTTGTTTAATTTTTTGTTTTGGATTTTTTTTGGAATTTTTGAATTTTTGGATTGTCTGGATTCTTTTGGAGTAATTGGAAATTTTTGATTTTTTAGATTCATTTGGGATTTCTTGAATTTTTGGATTTCTTGTATTTTTTTTAATCTGCTTGGAATCTTTAGAATTTTTGTTTTTATAAGTATTTGGAATTTTTGGATTTTTTTTGGATTGTTTGGATTTCCACTGAAATTTTTAGAATTTTTTGGTATCAAAATTTTTTTTCAATATTCCCATTTTACAATGTTTCGGTCTCATAATTTTTTGTTTTCTCCATATTTGGATTTTTTGAAATTTTTAGGATTTTTTTGGATTTTTTGATTTGTTGGATTCTTTGCTTTTTTATTTTTCTTTATTTTTTGGATCTTTGAACTTTTTGAAATTTCTAGATTCATCTGGATTTTTCATTTCCGTTGAAATTTTTAAATTTTTTTGATAAATTGGATTTTGTTAAATTGGAAGATTTTTGTTTCTATATGGACACCTGCCGTTGGAAAATAAACCCATTATTTTTTTTTTTGAGTTTTCGGATTTTCTTGAAATTTTTGAATTTTTTTGGATTTGCTGAATTTTTTTGGATTAATTGAAATTTTCGGAATTTTTAAATTTATTTTAGGTTTCTTGAATTTTTTAGAATTTATTAATCTCCTTCTAATTTTGGTAATTTTTCGATTTTTTTGGAATTTTTTTGGATTATTTGGATGTCCATTGGAATTTTTAGAATTTTTTGATATCACAATTTTTCTTCAATATTCCCATTTTTCAATGTTTCGGGTTCATAATTTTTCATTTTTTCCGTTTATGGATTTTTTTGGATTTTTTAGATTTTTTTGAATTGTTGATTTTTTTGTTTCTTTTTGTTTTTTTTATTATTTTTCGGATTATTTATAGTTTTTGGAATTCCTGAATTCTTTAGGATTTTTTTGGATTTCTTGATTTTCCATTGGTATTTTTGGATTTTTTTTTGGATTCTAAAATTTTTAGATTTTTGTGTCCTTTTGAATTCTTTGGGTTTTTTTAGAATTGTCGGAATTTTCTTAACTTTCGCAATTTTCGGAATTTTTTTAATGTTACGAATTTTCTAAATTTTAGGTTTTAGATTTTTTCTTATTTTCATTATTTTCGGAATTTTCGGAATGTTCGAAATTTTAATGTTTTTGGATTTTCGGAATTTCCGAAATAGTCGGAGTATTTGAACTGTTTGAAATTTTTGGACTTTTTTGGATTTTCTAGATTTTTGATGCTTTGAAGTCTTTCAGAATTTTTGGATTTTTTGATTTTGCTTTAATCTGCTTTTTGTTTTTTCCATTTTTGTATTTTTTTTGAGGTTTTTAATCCTTCATTTTTTTTAGTTTTTTGAATTTTTCGATTTTTTGCATTTTTTGGATTTTTTAGATTTCCATTGATATTTTTTTTTATTTTTTTGGAATTTTTGGATTTTTTGGATTTTTAGATTTTTTTTTGATTTTTTGAAAAGTTGGACTCTTTGTTTTCTTATTTTTCTTCATTTTTTTGGATGTTTGAACTTTCTGGAATTTCCGGATTCATTTGGATTTTTTGGATTGCCGTTGGAACTTTTGAATTTTTTTGATAATTTGGATTTTTTTGGATTTTTTGGATGTTTTTGGGTTTTTCATTTTTTTAGATTTTTTGGGTTTTTTGAATTGTTGAATTTTTTTTAGTGTGCTTGGAATTTTTAAAATTTATAGATATTCTGCTTTTTTGGATTCTTTTGGAATAATGGGAAATCCGGGATTTTTTTAGATTTTTTGGGTTCATTTCTTGAATTATTCAATTTTTTGGATTTTCTTTGAATCTGCTTGGAATCTTTGTTTTTTTTAAGTATTTGGAATTTTTTGGATTGTTTGGATTTCCATTGCAATTTTTAGAATGTTTGCTATAACAATTTTTTTTCAATATTTCCGTTTTTCAACGTTTCGGATTAATAATTTTTTGTTTTTCCCATTTTTGGATTTTTTGGATTCTTCAAATTTTTTGGATGTTTTGAATTATTGGATTCTTTGCTTTTTTATTTGTCTTTTTTTTTAATTTCTGGATTCATTTGTTTTTTTTTAATTTTTTGGATTTCCGTTGGAATTTTTGAATTTTTTTGGAAATTTGAATTTTTTCGGAATTTTTGCCATTTTCTTGGATTTTTTATTTTGTTGGATTGCTGAATTCTTTTAAACAATTGAAACTTTTGGATATTTTAGATTTATTTGGAGTTTCTTGAATTTTTTAATATTTTTGATAAGTTGGAATTTTTTGAAATTTTTGGATTCTCTCGGAATTTTTGAATTTTTTTGGATTTACTGAACTCTTTTGGAATTGATATAAACATCAGGGGTTTCTTGAATTTTTCATTTTTTGAATTTTTTTTATATGCTTGAAAATTTGGTATTTTTTTGTGGAGTATTTGGAATTTTTAGATTTTTTTTCCTGATTTTTTTGGATTTCCATAGAATACTTTGCTATCACAATTTTCGTTCAATATTCCCATTTTCAAATGTTTCAGCTTCATAATTTTTCACTTCTTCCATTTTCAGATTTTTTTTGGAATTTTAGATTCATCAATTTTTGCATTTTTTGGATTTTTTTAATGCGTTTCAAATTTTCAGGATTTCTGGATTTTCTGCTTTTTTGGATTTTTTTGGAGTTGTTTAATTTTTTATGTTTTAGATTTTTTTTGGAATTTTTGAATTTTTGGATTGTCTGGATTCTTTTGGAGTAATTGGAAATTTTGAATTTTTTAGATTGATTTGGGATTTCTTGAATTTTTGGATTTCTTGTATTTTTTTTAATCTCCGTGAAATCTTTGGAATTTTTATTTTTTTAAGTATTTGGAATTTTTGGATTCTTTTGGATTGCTTGGAATTTTTAGAATTTTTTAGTATAACAATTTTTCTTCAATATTCTCATTTTTCAATGTTTCGGTTTCATAATTTTTTGTTTTTTCCACTTTTGGATTTTTTGGACTTTTTAAATTTTTTTTTGGATTTTTTGAATTGTTGGATTCTTTGTTTTTTTTGTATTTTTCTTTATTTTTTGGATCTTTGAACTTTTTGGAATTTCTAGATTCATTTGGATTTTCTAGATTTCCGTTGAAATTTTTGAATTTTTTTGATAATTTTGATTTTATTAAATTGTAAGATTTTTGTTTCTATATGGACACCTGTCGTTGGAAAATAAATCCATTAATATTTTTTTTTGAGTTTTCGGATTTTCTTGGAATTTTTGAATTGTTTTGGATTTGCTGAATTCTTTTGGAATAATTGGAAGTTTCGGAATTTTAAAATTTATTTGGGGTTTCTTGACTTATTTGGATTTTTTTTAATCTGCTTGTAATTTTGGTAATTTTTCGATTTTTTTGGTTTTTTTTTTTTGGATTATTTTGGATGTCCATTGGAATTTTTAGAATTTTTTGATATGACAAATTTTATTCAATATTTCCATTTTTCAATGTTTCGGGTTCATAATTTTTCATTTTTTCCGTTTTTGGATTTTTTTGGAAATTTTAGATTTTTTTCGGATTTTTGAATTTTTTGTTTCTTTTTGCTTTTTTAATATTTGTCGGATTTTTTAAAGTTTTTGGAATTCCTGGATTCTTTGGGTTTTTTTTGACTTCTTGAATTTCCGTTGGAATTTTTAGAATTTTTGGATTCTTTTTGGATTTTAAAGTTTTTAGATTTTTGGAGTTCTTTTGAATTCTTTGGGTATTAGAATTGTCGGAATTTTCGGAATTTTCTTAATTTTCGGAATTTTTTTATTGTTCCTAATTTTCGAAATTTTAGGAATTTTTAGATTTTTTGGATTTTCGTTATTGTCGGAATTTTTGGAATATTTGAATTGTTTGAAACTTTTGGACTTTTTTGGATTTTCTAGATTTTTTGAGGTTTCTTGAATTTTTTCGTTAAATTGTAAGATTTTTGTTTCTAATATGGTCTGTTGAAAAATAAATCCATTATTATTATTGTTTTTGGATTTTTTTTTGGATGTGCCCGGAATGATTTTTAGAATACTTGGATTTTTTGGATTTTTTTTTTTTGGAATTTGTGAGGTTTTTGATGCTTTGAATATTTTCAGAATTTTTGGATTTTTTGATTTTGCTTTAATCTGCTTTCAATTTTTTCCATTTTTAGATTTTTTTTTATTTTTTTGTTGTTTTTTTAATTGTTGGATTTTTTGTTTTTTTTTTTTAAATTAGTTTATATTTTTTCCACGTTTCTTTAGATTTTTAAACAATTTTTCAAATTTTCAATCTTTGATTTTTCAATTCTTCTATTTCCAATCTTGAAATTCTTCAAAGTTTTCAGTTTATTAACTTTCTAGATTTTTTATTTCGAACATCGAAAAATAAAAAAATAGTAAAAACAAAGAAAATGAAAAACCTAAATGAAAAATTGTAAAACGAAAAAGTAAAGAAGTGAAATTTAAAAAATAGAAAAATTGAAGAAACAAAAAAAAATAAAAACTGAAAAATCGCAAATCGCAAAAACTAAAGAAGCGAAAAATTGAAAAAAATTAAATTATTAAAATATAATTAGTAAAACTATTAAAACTAGAAAAATTCGTATGTACCTTACCCATGAGTCAAAGTTTCATTACTAAACTCGGCCAAACAAACCGCCGTAACATAAATTCATAGACCAAATTTCCTCATAACCCCATTACTTCGCCAATTTCTGCGAATCCAACCCCTATCAAAACAAAAATATGAAACGCGCGACTCCACGCCGCCAAAATAAATAGCGGCCCCGTTCATCACAACTTCGGTCCATTCTACCCAATTAATAACAGATAAGTCCGACCCCGACTGACTCCCCTAGCCATTACGTGTCATATTAATCTTCCCCACCCCCACTCATTACATATTTATTTTCCAGAAAACTTTCTCCGACTTGTGGCACCGCCCCTCGCCCCGCCCGCCCACCCAAACTTACTCGGTGCTCAGCCGCTGCGCCCCCAACGCCCGCCAGTTCCAGCGCTCCGTCTCAGATGGCGCTGAGCGCATCAACGAAGAACTTAACCTCAAACCGACGAAATCCTACCATTTTTTAGGATGCAACAAAGTGAAACAGGACAGTTCGACAATAATCGACTGTAAGACGCTCCAGCCGATCGTACTGAGCGAGTCGAAGCCTACCCTGACCACGTCGATCGAGAGTAGTCAGAAGAGCTCGAAGGGCGCGAAGGGCGGGAAGTTTCGAATTTTTCGCCTGTGGGGCGCTAAAAAAAAGAAGGAGTTCCGGAGGCAGAGTAGCGCCGAAAGTAATACCATAAGTAATTCGAGTTTGCAGGATATGGACGAGATGGAGTACAGTAGTTCGGATTTGGTGAGGTATATGGAGGAGATTAATGAAGATATTGCGTGAAAAGGGAAGTTGTGAGGACTATGATCTCAATGTGTTGTCTGTGATGCGAACGTAGGTGTTAAGTGTTTTTCAGTCTTTTTTATGTATGTAGGAGTTGTAAATAAAGGGGTTATGTGAAAATGATTTTTTTTAATGGCTTATTAGAGTTATCACTGATGTCAGACGAAAGCTAGTTATTCAGTCTGATGTGTATTATGTGTTGCATACTCTTGAAAACATTATAATTTCAGTACCAACCTAAAAAAAATCCACTAGATGCTCATTCATCGAAAGATCTACAAATTACAAAGTACAACATTATTTACAATTTTTTAAATAAATAGACTGTAATTTTAATTATTTTGCAACCACTAATTTTTAAAATTTATGAAACAATTGGAAATTTTGGATTTTTTTGAATTCATTTCTTGAATTTTTGGATTTCTTAGATTTTCTTTGAATCTCTTTTGGAATTTTTTGGATTGTTTGGATTTCCACTGGAATTTTTTTGGATTTACTGAACTCTTTGGAATAATTGAATTTGTATATATGTATATTAGGCGTTTCTTGAATTTTTCATTTTTTGGATTTTTTATATCTGCTTCAAAATTTGGTAATTTTTTGTGGTGTATTTGAAATTTTTGTTTTTTTTTTTCCTGATTTTTTTGGATTTCTGCCTTTTTGGAATAATTGGAATTTTTGGATTGTTTGGATTTCCATTGGAATTTTTAGAATGTTTAGGATCACAATTTTTCTTCAATATTCCCATTTTTCAACGAATCGGTTTCATAATTTTTGTTTTTTCTAGTTTTGGATTTTTTGGACTCTTCAAGATTTTTTTGGATGTTTTGAATTATTGGATTCTTTGTTTTTTTATTTTTCTTTTTTTTGGAATTTCTGGATTCATTTGGTTGTTTTGAATTTTTTGGAATTTTTGCTTCTTTTGGAATTTTTGAATTTTTTTGGATTTACTGAACCCTTTTGGAATAATTGGAATTTTTGGAATTGGTATATATATTAGGGGCTTCTTGAATTTTTCATTTTTTGGATTTTTTTATGTGCTTGAAAATTGGGTAATTTTTTTGTGTATTTGGAGTTTTTAGATTTTTTTTCCGATTTTTCTGGATTTCCATTGGAATTTTTAGAATATTTTGTTATCACAATATTCTCATTTGTAATTATTTCGGCTTCATAATTTTTGCATTTCTTCCATTTTCAGATTTTCTTGGATTTTTTAGAGTTTTTTGGGGTTTTTGAATTGTTGGGTTTTTTTGGATTTTCTAGATTTTTGGGGTTTTTTGGAAATCTTGGATTTTCTTTGAAATTGTGAATTTTTTGGATTTTCTGGATTCTTTTGAAATAACTGGAAATTTTGGATTTTTTTGGATATTTTAGATTCATTTGGAGTTTCTTGAATTTTTGCATTTTTTTGATTTTTTTAATGCGTTTATAACTTTCAGAATTTCTGGATTTTCTGCTTCTTTGGATTTTTTTGGAGTTGAGTAATTTTTTATGTCCTGGAATTTTTTTTAATTTTTGGATCCTCTTGGAATTTTTGAATTTTTTGGATTTTCGGGACTTTTTAAGATTTTTTTTTGGATTTTTTGAATCGTCGGACTCTTTGTTTTTTTATTTTTCTTTATTTTTTGTATCTTTGAACTTTTTGAAATTTCTAGATTCAATTGGATTTTTTAGATTTCAGTCGAAATTTTTGAATTTTTTTGTCAATTTGGATTTTGTTAAATTAGAAGATTCTTGTTTCTATATGGACACCTGTCGTTGGAAAATAAACCCATTATTATTTTTTGGATTGTTTGGATTTCCATTGGAATTTTAGATTTTTCTGGATTCGTTTGGTTTTTTGAATTTTTTTGTAATTTTTGCCATTTTCTTGGAATTTTTTAATTTTTTTGTATTGCTGAATTCTTTTGAAACAATTGGAACTTTTGGAATTTTTAGATTTATTTGGGGTTTCTAGGATTTTTTAATTCTTTTGAGAATTTGGATTTTTTTTTAATTTTTGGTTCTCTCGGAATTTTTGAATTTTTTTGGATTTTCTGGATTCTTTTGGAGCAATTGGAAATTTTGAATTTTTTAGATTCATTTGGGGTTTCTTGAGTTTTTGGATTTCTTGGATTTTTTTTAATCTGCTTGGAATCTTTAGAATTTTTGTTTATTTAAATATTTGGAATTTTTGAATTATGTAGAATTTTTTGTTATCACAATTTTTCTTCAATATTCCCATTTTTCAATGTTTCGGCTTCATAATTTTTTGTTTTTTCCATTTTTTGATTTTTTTGACTTTTTAAAATTTTTTTTGGATTTTTCGAATAGTCGGATTCTTTGTTTTTTTATTTTCTATATTTTCTGGATCTTTGAACTTTTTGGAATTTCTAGATTCATTTGGATTCTGGATATACAGACGATTTCCAGACAACAATGTATTTGTCTCTCTGGAAATAAAATTATTATTATTATTATTATTATTATTTATACTTTTTTTTGAGTTTTCGAATTTTCTTGGAATTTTTGATTTTTTTGGATTTGCTGAATTCTTTTGGAATAATTGGAATTTTCGAAATTTTTAAGCTTATTTGGGGTTTTTTGAATTTTTTGGAACTTTTTTGATTTGCTTGTAATTTTGGTAATTTTTGGATTTTTTGGATTTTTTTTTGGATTATTTGGATATCCATTGGAATTTTTAGAATTTTTTGGTATCACAATTTTTCTTCAATATTTCCATTTTTGAATGTTTCTGGTTCATAATTTTTCATTTTTTCCGTTTTTGGATTTTTCGGATTTTTTAGATTTTTTTGAATTGTTAAATTGTTTGTTTCTTTTTGTTTTTTTATTATTTTTCGGATTTTTTAAAGTTTTTGGAATTCCTGGATTTTTTGGGATTTTTTTGGATTTCTTGAATTTCCATTGGAATTTTTAGCATTTTTGGATTCTTTTTGGATTTTAAAATTTTTAGATCTTTGAGTTCTTTTGAATTCTTTGGGTTTTTTTGAATCGTCGGAATTTTAGGATTTTTCGAAATTTTCTTAATTTTCGCAATTGTCAGAATTTTTTTAATCTTCCAAATTTTCGAAATTTTAGGAAGTTTTAGATTTTTTTTGGATTTTCATTATTTTCGGAATTTTCGTAATGTTCGAAATATTGATGTTTTTGGATTTTCGGATTTTTCAAAATTTTTGGAATGTTTGAATTGTTTGAAATTTTTGGGCTTTTTTGGAATTTCTTGAATTTTTTCGTTAAATTCTAACATTTTTGTACCTAATATGGTCTGTTGAAAAATAAACCCATTATTATTATTATTATTATTATTATTATTGTTTTTTTTTATGTACCCGGGATGATTTTTAGCATAGTTGGATTTTTTGTATTTTTTTTTGGAATTTGTGAGGTTCTTGATGCTTTGAATTTTTTTTCGCTTTAATCTGCTTTGAATTTTTTCCATTTTTGGATTTTTTGAGTTTTCTTAATCGTTGGATTTTTTGTAATTTTTTTTGTTTTTTTTTTTAAGTTTTTGGAATTTTTGATTTAACAATTTTTCTTCAATATTCCCATTTTTCAACGTTTCGCTTTCATATTTTTTTTGTTTTCTTCATTTTTGGATTTGTTGGGCTTTTCAGATTTTTTTGGATATTTTGAATTATTGGATTCTTTGTTTTTTTGGAATTTCTGGATTCATTTGGTTTCTTGAATTTTTTGGTAATTTGAATATTTTTGGAATTTTTGCCATTTTCTTAGAATTTTTTAATTTTTTTGGAATTTTTAGATTTATTTGGGGTTTCTTGAATTTTTTAAATTTTTCTGATAATTTGGAATTTTTGGATTCTCTTGGAATTTTTGAATTTTTTTGGATTTACTGAACTCTTTTGGAATAGTTGCAATTTTTGGAATTATCTATATATTAGGCGTTTCTTGAAGTTTTTATTTTTTAGATTTTTTTTATCTGCTTGAATATGTGGTAATTTTTTGTGGTGTATCTGGAATTTTTGTATTTTTTTTTTATTTTTTTGGATTTTCATTGAAATTGTTAGAATTATTTTTTTTTTGTACTTTTTTTGTATATTTTTCTTCTTTTTATGGGACTTTTGAAATTTTCGGAATTTGTATTTGGAATTTTTGGAATGTTCGGAAGTTTTGAATATTTTTGTTTTTTTTAATGGGATTTTTGAAATTTTCGGGTTTTATATTTGGAATTTTTGGAATGTTGGGAGTTTCTTGAATTTTTGGATTTTTTAAATGTGCTTGGAATTTTTAAAAATTATGGATTTCTGTTTTTTGGATTTTTTTGGAATTTTTGGATTTTTCAATCTAGTGGATTTTTTAGAAATCTTGCATTTTCTTCAAACTTGTGAATTTTTTGGATTTTCTGGAGTCTTTTGAAATAATTGGAAATTCTGGATTTTTTAAATTCATTTGGGGTTTCTTGAATTTTTGCAGTTTTTAGATTTTTTTAATGCGTTTAGAATTTTCAGAATTTCTGGATTTTCTCCTTTGTTGGATTTTTTTTGGAGTTGTTTAATTTTTTATGTTTTGGATTTTTTGGAATTTTTGGATCCTCTTGGAATTTTTGAATTTTTTGGATTTTCTGGATTCTTTTGGAGTAATTGGAAATTTTAGATTTCTTGGATTTTTTTAATCTGATTGGAATTTTTAGATTTTTTTGGATTGTTTGGATTTCCACTGGAACTTTCAGAATTTTTTAGTATCACAATTTTTCTTCAATATTCCCATTTTTCATAATTTTTTGTTTTTTCCATTTTTGGATTTTTTGGACTTTTTAAGATTTTTTTTAGATTTTTGGAATTGTTGGGTTCTTAGTTTTTTATTTTTCTTTATTTTTTGGATTTTTGAACTTTTTATAATTTCTAGATTCATTTGGATTTTTTATTTCCGTTGATCTTGGAATTTTTGAATTTTTTTCGATTTGCTGAATTCTTTTAGAATAATTCGAATTTTCGGAATTTTTAAATTTATTTGGGGTTTCTTGAATTTTTTGGAATTTCTTTAATCTGCTTGTAATTTAGGTAATTTTTGCATTTTTTTAGATTTTTTGAATTGTTGAATTTTTTGTTTCTTTTTTTTTATCATTTTTTGGAATTCCTGGATTCTTTAGGATTTTTTTGGGTATCTTGAATTTCCATTGGAATTTTTAGAATTTTTGAATTCTTTTTGGATTTTAAAATTTTTAGATTTTTTAGTTCTCTTGAATTTTTTTGGGTATTTTTAGAATTGTCGGAATTTTCTTAATTTTCCCAATTTTCGGAATTTTTTTAATGGTCGAAATTTTAGGAAGTTTTAGTTTTTTCGGAACATTTGAAATGTTTCAAGTTTTTTTTTTTAATGGCTTAGTTATCACTGTTATCAGACGAAAGCAAGTTATTCAGTCTGATGTGTATTATGTGTTGCATACTCTTGAAGACATTATAATTTTAGTACCAACCTAAGAACAATCCACTTGATGCTCCTTGATCAACAGATCTACAAATTACAAGCTACAACATTACTTACAATTTTTTAAATAAATAAACCGTAATTTCAATTATTTTGCAACCACTAATCACGCATTATTAATTACAACAGCAATAAAAACTGTGTTAGAGATAATCTGACAGCACTCGTGGAACCAAGTTAGTGACTTTTCATTACTTGGTTGGCAGCGCTATTCTCCCACCTTCTTTTCCGTGTGTTGTCACTCAGTAGGTATGTCATGTTATTTATTTTTTCAAATTTTGTGATTTTTACAAAGCATCCGCCTTCAAATCGCCCCCAAGTCACTCAAAACCCCCTTTCCTAACCCCCATTGTGCATTCCTTGTGTGTATTTTTTTACATTTTTCTCATAATAGCAATATTTCCACTTTCTCACAAAGTGAGGTTATGTCATCCGCATTTCTCGTTCCAGGCTAGAAAATGGGGGCCTACAAGTACGTGCAGGAGTTGTACCGTAAGAAACAAAGCGACGTTCTTAGGTTTTTGTTACGAGTGAGGGTTTGGCAGTACCGCCAACTCACGAAATTGCATAGGGCTCCGAGACCGTCCAGGCCCGATAAAGCGCGTAGATTGGGGTACAGAGCCAAGCAAGGTACGTTATAATTCAAACTTAACGACTGTTTTGTGACCAGATTTTCATTTATTGTAGGTTTTGTCATATTCCGCATCCGCGTCCGCCGTGGGGGCCGCAAGCGCCCAGTTCCCAAAGGCGCCACTTACGGCAAACCCAAGAGCCACGGAGTTAACGAGTTGAAACCTGTGCGTAACCTACAAGCCATCGCTGAGGTTGGTTTATTCTAATTAAGTTAGACTTTCGACTTATGATTAATTTCGTAGGAAAGAGTTGGCCGGCGTTGCGGGGGCTTGAGAGTGTTGAACTCGTACTGGGTGGCCCAGGACTCTTCATACAAATACTATGAAGTGATTTTAGTTGACCCATCTCACAAAGTAAGTTTTTCTAATTGCGCTGAGTTGATTATCAGGTTCTTTAGTGCTCTTAAATGATGATTAGGCATGCACCACGCTTACACACTTGTGTGTATGCAGAGAAAACTCCTTTGATGTCTGACTTATTTGATTTTGTTTTTGTTTTAGTTTGGTGTAGGTTTGGGCTAATTTTGTGTTTTTCTTTGTAGGCTGTCAGACGCGACCCTAAGGTCAACTGGATTGTGAATTCCGTGCATAAGCATCGCGAGTTACGTGGAAAGACTTCGGCTGGACGCTCATCACGTGGTATCGGTAAAGGGCACAGGTATTCGCAGACCAAGGGCGGTTCCAGGAAGGCTGCATGGCTGAGGAGGAACTCCCTCCAATTGCGCAGAAAGCGATAAATTATGTAAATTCATACTTGTTTTGATAACAATAAAAAAATCCGAGAAATAAGTGTTTATTTGGTGGGTTCCAAAGTGAAAACCAGTAACATAAATAACACTCTGGCAGCTTTTTGACGTGAATTTTTCATTTTTTTGGGTTCATGAATTTATCGATTTGAAATTTTTCGCATTTTTAAATTTCATTTTCCCAAATTTTTCGTTTCGTTATGTTTGGATTCTTTAATTTTCCATTCTTCAAATTTTCGATTTGCAATTTTTCGTTTCGGTTTTTTATTTTTTTCATTTTTACAACTTTTTGATTTTTCAATGTACCGATTTAATAATTTTTTTATTTGCAATTTTTTTTTAGTTTCTTGAATTTTACGAAAGTTCGGCAAAATAAAAAAATTAAGTCATGAAAAGCGACCCAAAAAGTCGCAAAAATTGTGAAAAAAAATGGACTACAAGTAGCGATGAAGGACAAAGTTCACAAAAAATTCGAAAACAAGGTAAAAAAATACATAAAATAAAAAAGATCACTACAAAAAGTGACCAAAAAACAACAAAATACGGCTATATAAAGCAACGGAAAAATGCAAAGAAAATTGAAACCATTCAATGAAATTCAAAATACTCCAAAAAAATCTAGAAAATCCGAAAAATCGAAAAGTCCAACAAAATAAAAAAAATCAAAAGTTCCAAAATAAAAAAACAAAAAAAAAATTGGAAAATTAAAAAAACCAAAGAATCCGAAAAAATTCAAACTTCTAAACAAATTCAAAACAATCCAAAAAAATTGAGAATCAAAAACTCCAGGAAATAAAAAAATCAAAAAATTCAAACATTAAAAAAATTCCAATGGAAATCCAAAAAAATCTAAAAATTATGTAATTCAAAAAGTCCAAATATATAAAAAAAATACCGAAAAAGTCCAAAAAATTCTGAAATATCGACAAAATCAAAAGAATCTAAAAAAAAGTCAAATTCCAATACAATTCAACAAATCCAAATGTTCCAAAAATTCCAAATAATTCAAAAAAAAAAAAATTAAAAGTTCCAAATAAATCCAAAAAAATTCCAACAATTCTAAAAAAAATCCAAAAAATTAAAATATTAAAAATAAAACCAAAAAATCCAAAAATAAAAAAAAAACAGAAATCAGTAAAATCAAGGAAAATCCAAATATATATTTGAAATCAAAAAATCCAAATTTAAAAATTTCAAGTACATCCAAAACATTCAAAGATTTCGAAAAAATCCAAAAATTCCAATGCAATCTAAGAAAATTAAAACAATACAAAAATTTCAGTACAATCAAAAAAATTCAAAAAATCCAACAACGCCAAAAGATAAAAAAAAATCCAAAAATTTTAAAATCTTAAAACCAAGCAAATCCGAAAAATCCAAAAAACCAAAAATAAAAAATATCTAAAAAATTCAAGTAATTCAAGATAATTCAAAAATTCCCAATACCCCAAATAAATCCCAAACTTGAAGAAATCAAAAAAATAAAACAAACCCAAAAAATTCAAAATCTCCAAAAAAGAATACAAAATATTCGACAAAGAATCAAGCTAAACCGAAAAAATTGAGACAATCCATACGACTATATAAAGCCAAGAAAATCCAAATACTCCAATAAAATCGATAAAATCCAAAAAATCCGAATATTTCAAATAAAACAAGAAAAACTCAAAAAGCAATAAAATCCAGAAAAATCCAAATATATATTTGATATCAAAAAATCCAAATTTTTCAAAAATTTCAAGTAAATCCAAAAATTCCAATACAACCCAAAAACATTCAAAGGATTCAAAAAATACAAAAAACCCAAAAATCAACAAAATCCAGGAAAATCCAAAAATTCCAATCCAATCCAAGCACATTCAAAAAATCCAAAGAAATACAAAAATTCCAAGTAAATCCAAAAATTCCAATGCAATCCAAAAAATGGAAAAAATTAAAATTCCAATAAAATCGAAATATATACTTGACAACAAAATATTCAAATTTTCCAAAAATTTCAAATAAAACCAAAAAAACCCAAAAAACAATAAAATTCAGGAAAATTCGAATATATATTTGATATCAAAATATCCAAATTTGCCAAAAATTTCAAGTAAATTCGAAAAATCCAAAACATCCAAAAATTCCGAAAAAAAAACAAAAATTCCAATCCAATCCAAGAACATTCAAAAGATCCAAAGAAATACAAAAATTCCAAGTAAATTCAAAAATTCCAATGCAATCCAAAAAAAAAACAGAAAACCCAAATATCAATAAAATTCAGGAAAATCTAAATGTGTATTTGAAATCAAAAAATTCAAATTTTCCAAAAATTCCAAGTAAATCCCCAAATTCAAATGGCATCCAAAAAAAATCCAAATAACCCAAAAACCAATAAAATCCAGGAAAATCTAAATTTTCCGAAATTTCCAAGTAAACTAAAAAATCCAACAAAGATCCAAAAATGAATAAAATCCAGCAAAATCCAAATATAATTTCAAGTAAATCCAAAAAATCCAATACAATCAAAAAAGTTCGAAAAATCTAAAAATCCAGCAAAGCCAAAAGATAAAAAATTCCAAAAATTAAAAAAATCCTAAAAATCAAACAAATCCAAAAAAAAATCAACAAATCGAAAAAACCAAAAATAAAAAAAATTAAAAAATCCAAGTAATTCAAGACAATCCAAAAATTTCCAATACCCCAAATAAATCCAAAAATTGAAGTAATCCAAAAAATAAAACAAACCCCAAAAAAATTCAAAAATTCCAAAAAATTCGACAAAAAATCAAGAAAAACCGAAAAAATTGAAACAATCCATACGGCTATATAAAGCCAGGAAAATCTAAATACTCCAATAAAAATCGATATAATCGAAAAATTTCAAATAAAACCAAAAAAAACCCAAAAAGCAATAAAATCCAGGAAAATCCGAAAATATAATAATAATAATAATAATAGTGCTTTATTACGCCGAAAGATATAAAGGCATTACATAAAGTACATAACAAAATATTAACATAACAATTCATATTAACATAATAGTAACAATTTGCGACATTCTTTCTTGAAGGCGTTGAGGGAGATACCAAAAAACTCTAAAGTGTTGCATTCGTTAGCAATCATCAAAACGCTATTTAGAGGCGAATGTAATGCATAATTCGTTTTATGAACTGGTATAAAAAACAGCCTAGGCGTACGAACCTTACGGATTGACACATTAAGACCTACCAACGCTAGCAATATGGGGGCTTCAATTAAACCATTTAATAATTTAAAAAGAAAACATAGTTTGTGATACTTACGACGATTTTCTAGTGTATGTACTGACAGATAAGATGCAACAAGGTCTGTATCTGCTAACACAATACCATCACCACACAACTTATATTTGACATATTTTAAAAGTTTGACTTGGACAGCTTCAATTCGGCTTATGTGAGTGATATAAAACGGTGACCAGTTGACACAATTGAATTCCAATATCGATCGGACTAACGAATAGTATAATATCAGAATGGTTCTGATGTTACTGAAGTTCACCGTCCACCGCTTTAAACACCCCAAAAGTTTTCTACCTCTAGAAACAACATATTCACAGTGACTGACGAAAGATAATTTAGTGTCTAAATAGATACCCAAATCCTTGGCATTGCTAACTATGTCTAAGGGCGTATTTTCTAGTAGGTACAATGGAACTGAGGGACGACTTTTGCGACTAAAGCACATTGCTTTGCATTTTTTAATGTTAAGAGACATATGATTGAGTTTACACCAATCGTTAAGACATATAAGATCATTTGTCAAAGTATTTATGTCATACATGGAATCAATCTTCTTATATAACTTCAAGTCATCTGCATACAGTAAGGAATTTGAGTTGAAATTCAAGCAGATATCGTTAATGAAGATATTAAATAAAAGTGGTCCTATAACCGAGCCTTGAGGAACTCCAGATGTTGATTCGTAGGTAGATGACTTGAACTTCATTAATTGTACAAAATGTAGACGATGACTGATATAAGATTGAATCCATGAAAGTAAAGGATCACGAACGCCGTAGAGTAGAAGTTTGTGTATCAAAATGGTGTGATCAACAGAATCAAACGCCTTGTGGAAGTCTGTGTAGATGCAGTGAAAAAAAAAAAAAAAAAAAAAAAAAAAAAAACATATTTGATATCAAAAAATGCAAACTTTCCAAGAATTTCACGTAAATCCAAACAATCCAGAAACATTCAAAGGATCCTAAAAAATACAAAATTCCAATACAATCCAAGAACATTCAAAAGACCCAAAAAAATACAAAAATTCCAATGCAATCTAAAAAAATCCCAAAAATCAATAAAATCCAAGAAAATCCAAATATATATTTGAGATCAAAAAATCCAAATTTTCCAAAAATTTCAACTAAATCCACAATATCCAAAAATTCCAATCCAATCCAAGAACATTCAAAACATCCAAAGAAATACAAAAATTCCAATTAAATCCAAAAATTCCAACGCAATACAAAAAATTGAAAACAATCTAAATACCAATAAAATCCAGGAAAATCGAAATATATATGTATTTGTGATCAAAATATCCAAAAAAATTCAAATGTTTGCAAAAATTCCAAGTAAATCCAAAAATTCCAATGCAATCCGAAAAACCCAAATATCAATAAAATCCAGGAAAATCTAAATCTATATTTGAAATAAAAAAATCCAAATTTTCCAAAAATTTCAAGTGAATCAAAAAAATTCGAAATATCCAAAACATCTAAAAAAATCAAAGCATTCCGAAAAAATAAAAAATTCCAGTGCAATTCAAGAACATTCAAAAGATCCAAAAAAATACAAAAATTCCAGATAAATCCAAAAATTCCAATACAATAAAAAAAAATCTAAAAATCTAAAAATCCAGCAAAGCCAAAAGATAAAAAATTCCAAAAATTAAAACAATCCTAAAAACCAATCAAATCCAAAAAATTCAACAAATCCAAAAAACCAAAAATTTAAAAAATCCAAGTAATTCGAGACAATCCAAAAATTCCCAATACCCCAAATAAATCTAAAAATTGAA